TCAGGGCTGGTGTCGGTGTAACAGATGCCGATTTTCCTGTAAAAAGTCTAGAACAGGTAGGAGTGATGAGGCAGAAACAAATCTGTGCTTCACTAATCCTAATGTGCAATGTTTTACTTCACAACAAAATCTCTCAAGATGTTTTTTGTTTCTTTTTTGTATAAATCACTCAGCCGTGGTGGCAAATTGCCTAATTTGACGTCACATAAACGTATTACTTAAACAAGACAGTATGCCTTCATTAGACACTTTAACATCCAACCCTGTTTGGTTTTATTCTTCCTTTGTTAATAAAGTGTGTTGGTTCAGGAGGTTGTGCCGTTTCACTTGTGCTGCCGCCAAACCAGTTTAAATGTGGCCGAGCCCATCACCGAAAACAAACAGGGACCAAACCAGCAGTTAGAAACTCCCTGTTCAAACTTCATTTAAAATAATTCCACTGTTTAAATGAGCATTTCAAAAATCTTTGTTCCAAGACAATTGATGCACGGTTGTTGTTTTTCTGTGTATTGCAACACAAATCTACCTTTCTGGTCCAAGTGTAGAAGTACGTTGACACTACTGTTTGAAGACTGATGTTCTGAGTTTTGAGCCGTAAATATAAAAATGCCTCTTGAAGTCGGAATTCCGACAGCTGGAGCTTACCGAGCAGCCCTGGATTTCATGATTGCTGCTCTTAAACTCTTTACTTCTGCTTGATGTTTGATTACCACTATAAAACTTGTATTGTTAAAAATGTATTGTTAGCTTGTTGGCTAATAGGAGCTGGCATTGAAACAAAGCAGATGGCACCGAGTTCTGACTGAAGGTAAAGTTGTTCCAACTTCTAATTTGTGTCCAAGTGGCATTAATTTGAATGAACCTAGATATTTGTACAGCTCTTTCTATTCAAATCTTAATATCCAATGTAACTTACTCAGTTGACTGCAGCTAAAACTCCAGAGCACATAAAACAGCTGTAAACATGTGGGACGGGCAGCCTCACTTCAAGTCAGCCACTTGACTACTTTTAGTTCTTAAAGTGATCTGAATTATTGGTGTGTTTGTTTTAGATCACAAGCAGGCAGAATTGGAGGCTAAACTCTTGTGAAGCGGAACAAAACACACACACACACACACACGCACACTGGCAATTCAGATTCACATTTAAAGCCAACAATACTCAGGAAAGCATTTCAAACGCACCGATTCACGTTCCATTCGCAACTGGAATAAATCAACAGCTTTCAAAAAAATCTGCAAGAGCCTCATCTTGTTTGACAGCTATTTTCAGGTGTGGTGTTTGTTTGTTTGTGGATATTTATGAAGAAATAAAATCGGGGGGTGAAGAGGGAGAGGTGGGAAACTGTTTGGCCAACACGGCGGCGGCCACCGTCGGCAAGGGGTTGATTGTGCGACGGCGGGAGGGAAAGGGGAGCAGAGGGACGGGGGGCGCGGACGGCGGCGACACGCTGAGTCCAGTCCCACGCTCAGAGTTATTCCTGGGTCTCCTCTCGGCGTTCCGGAGGGAGCCGGACTGCCAGGCTGCCACAGGTGGCGTTCACACGCTCAGAGTGAATGTGTGTCACTGGCTGCAGAGGTATGCACAGAATCTCAACGACCCACAGAGCTGTTGACAGCAAGGAATGCGTGTCAAAGGTGTGTGTATTTTTCATCAGCGCAAAAGGTTTTTGTTTGTACTCTCTTGGACAATGCTGTCGGCGTCTTAGCGAGAACAATGCAAGCCAGTCAAGGTTGCCGCTTCCATCCCTCTCCTCTGGTTGAACAACACACTCACAAGTCTATCCGCGGCAGATTGCATCCATGCAGAACCCGACCTGTGTCTGTGTGTGTGTGTGTGTGTGTGTGTGTGTGTGTGTGTGTGTGAGTGTTGCATTATTTGAAAAGCGTTGCCTTCTTGCGAGGCTATCTGATTGAGGCCTGGGTTTTTTTTTTTGCGACCACCTACGAGGCTGTTTGGGCTTTTATACGGCATTGCCGCATGCTGCTGAGAAATCACAATGAAGCTGTGACCTCCAAGCAGATGTTGAGCTTTACAAAGTAGAACAAAGTGAGTGAGCAAAAACTTGTATTAGTGAGTGAGTGTATGCATGCATAAAGCAGGAAATAAACCAGCCAGAGCAGGTGATCTTTGCTATGGAGGGGAAATCACTTACCTGCAGTATCAAATGTTTGAGTTAAAAAAAGAGTAGTAAGCCAGACCTTTCAGTCAGCAAGACTAATATGGGGAAGAGACATGAACAATTTAATTAAAACCATTGTCGAGTTTAAAAAACAAACTTTAAAGCCATTATTTCATGCTCTTTATGGAGTTTAAACTACTTTTACTGAGTTGGCAGAGAAAGTGCCAGAGTCGTACATATCTCAGCCCTAATCCTCCTTGACATGTTGCTGCACACTGCCAGCTGACTGGCTGAAAGACAGCTGCTATGTTTTGCAACACTTTCACAAAAACCAACTTAACTGTTCGAGGAAAGAAATGTCAGTGTTAATAAACAGTGTGAAAACTACCAACTGTTACAATTCAAATGATTCATGGTTTTCAATTTAGGTAAAGGTCCTTGTGTAAAATACTTCGATACAGTGATACCATCGCATTTTCACTTATGGGACACTATTTGGGTCAACCATTAGCTGTTTATAAAAGGAGCATTCAAACCAACTTGGCTTAGTCCACTCTAATCAAACTCCAAAGAAAATTTTGCCAGTTAGCAGCTAGCTAGTCAAGGACACTTTGCTTACAACCTTTTTCCCCAAAAAAACACCAGCCTTCAGAGTGTTCAGGAGGTTACAACAAACAAAAGTAGTGCTTCTTTTTCTGTCTTTTCTAATACTGTACTTGTAAAATGTTTTAGCTAACAACCTAGCCATAGCAAACTTAAGCACTTCAGAAACGTAGAGTTGCGTTGTTTAATTCTACTTCCATGTCGGCTGTATTGGAGCGTTCGCACAGAGTAAGACACCTCTGCTCGTCCATTAAAAAGTTTTATGCTGTGTTTGGATCTACCCTGTTAATGGTAGAGCTGCTCTCACTGTCCAAAAATACGTGCAACCAATTTCTGCGGACCCCAGAGATGAGTCACACAGGTGTTGAGATTGAAGCGGACAGCAGAGTGGACCAGACGGTATGAAATGGCCTTTGTAAGCCAACACCACCTTCAAACACACGCTGCCTTAAACTGGTGCTGCACAGAGTTACCTGTTGTTTTCTGCCAAGATGTCAAAGAAAAACTCTGTTAGTGTTTTCCAAATTGTTAATTTATGTGTATGGATCATAATTGGCTAAAATAACCTTTCGTTTTTAAAATCAGTGAAAAGCACAAAAACTTTTGTCATAACAGATTGTTTAACTTTAAGACTTCTCGTCTCCTTTTCAATCAAACAAACTACTTTGTTAAATTTGTTTGCCGTACGGCTTATGGAAAGCCTCGCTTGCTGCTCATAAGCGGTCAAATCAACAATTCAAGAAAGTTTTAAAAGCCCAAAAACCGAAAGATTCATCTCAAAAACATTTTCTCAAATAAGCAGTTTTAGTTAGGGCTTACAGGTGAAAGGTTCGTGGCCTGCATGGTAGGAATCGATTTCTTTGGTTGCCTCTAAATATAAGCATGTGACACATGCATCTGGCAGAACAATTTTCTGTTAAGTTGTTCTTTGTTTCTTTTTGTTGTTGTTCTCTACAGATGACGGTTCACTTTTGATAACTTTAAGGAGAAACCTTAAAGATGAACTGACCTTTCACATCAAGTCCATGGCTCAGTCTCCACGCGGAGTTTCGGTGCGTTGTACCACGAGTCTTTTACAATTCAGCGCTGCCGGCCGAGTCCTCCTACCGCATGAATGACAGCAGACAGAGGAAACCTCTGCTCTCAGATAAAAATCAACTCCTCTCCCTTTTGAGCGCCGACAACACTGAAACGTTACACTTCCCACGACAAGAATCACTTCACACAAAAACTTCAGTTACCCAACAAGTTGTAACTCGCAAAACCTAACATTTAGTCCCCAGGGGGTTGGCAATGCAAATCCCTTCTGTTGTTCTCTCTTTCTTTTCCTTTCCTTTTGTTTCCTCCTTCTTTCTCTCTGTCATTGTTTTTCTTCTTCTTCTTTGCCTTTCCCCTCCTGACAAGAGCAGCTTTTCAGGCTTATATCATCCTAGTTGCCTTTCAACGAGTGCCTGGGGCAAAATTGTTCAGAGTACACAAAAGCCAGAGTGCGTGAGTGCCAGGAGGCTTACTCAACAGATGAAAGAAGTGTTAGGCATCTAAAGGTTTACTTGACAATATATAAATAAAGACAATTGCATTGCCATCACTGTGACTGACAGCTGCAAAGGTAAAAAAAAAAAGAAAAAAAGATTCATGCAAGAATGTCTCATAAAACTTCATCCAATTACAGCAAACCCAAAATTAAAACATTAAACACTTAGAGAAAAAAAAACTTTCTCTGTGCCAGATTTCCACTGCACCATAACAACATATCCCTGATTAGCACGCCATTTCTCATGCATTGTTCAATTGTCAGCAGCTTTTCGTGACAGGGTTGCCCACGGTGAGTCCCGACCTGCCGCGCAGTCGTGTCAAGACAAGTGTAAAGCGATGTATAAACAAATGTTTGGGGAAATGTTTCGCAGTTAGCAGTATTTGCTTAGGGATGATAAAGCAATCCAGCCGCAGCGGCAGCGGCGGCAGCGGCTGGAGCCGGCGCGGTCTGCCCACAGGGCCTGGCTCTGCCTTATCGTGGAAAGAGCTTCCAGCAAAGTGCAACATTATTTAAACTAAACCGCATCTCATCTACAAAGCTTTTAACGCAACACATACACGACTGAGCTCACTTCGCGGGCTACAGATGTTCGTTTTTGATTAAAATTGAGAGGCATGTGTCGGAAGCGAGGTTGTGTAAAGTTGAAGAAAAATTATCATTTCAAAAAAAATTCTAAAAAATAAAAAAAACATAACCCATTATCATTCCTCCACCTTCTCCATGCATTCTGTACTGACCTGGCAGGGCCGGGTGGATGTGCGGGGATCCAAAATCGCTCCCTGCCTGGAACAGAGCTGCTGACACAAGTCATAGTGAGTGGCTCTGCTCTGCCCTGCCGCTCCTGTAGCGTCTGTCTTTTCTACTCTGTTACCTCTGACCCAAGCAGCCGCCCCTCCGCCGATCGGTCCCGGCTCCCCCCCAGACTCTCCCCTCAAGAGGGAAAAAGTACAAAGAGCCTCTTCAGATCCCACCGCACGGGTTGCGCATTTGCATAATTAGCATGCTGTTGCAGGTAAGCCTTCCTGCAACACGACCGTGTGCGATAGCGATCAGGCGGCCAACCAACAGGTGTGATTTTCATGTGATAAAACGTATTCATCGGAGGAGGACGCTTTCTAACAAAGTCGGGTTTATCCCCTCCGTTATGATTTCCTGGACACATGACCGCAAACCGGGAGAGCGAAGCCAGAATAATATGTGAAAGGTATTGTGGATTCAGCGTTGAAAAAGAAAACATTTACATAGCAGAGAGGGGAAAGAATAAGGTGTCACTGTAGCTGCTTTTCAGTATTTTAAAGTTGGGAAATTATATGAGCGTTACATTTTGGAGCTGGTTGGGCTTTTGTTTGTTTGGTTGTTTGTTTTTGAGTTGTTGTTTTTTTTGGGGGGGGGGAATTTTTCGTTTTTGCAACATCAGTGGAAAGAAAGGACTTTAAATTCCAACTAAGAATTGAATATTCATGGTAAAAAAAAACTTTTTCCCAAGAAATGTCAAAAAAGAGGAGGAGTTCCAGGTTGGGTTTAATACCCAAGCTGTACCCCACTTTTCTACCTACACAAGTTCATTTTTCATTTTGATACTCAATTGATAAATTGATACTCAATCATTTATCTGATTCTATTTGGTTTTGAGGTAAAAACATAAGAATAAAAAAAATCACATGAATATTTTGGCTCCCGTTGCCAAACTTAACCAAAACCAAACCACAACAAGCATAAGTGTCCTCTTGCTGTTAGATATTTACTGGAATAACAAATCAACATTTTAATGAGGCAATTATTCAAATATTCTGTCGTCAAAGTGAGTATGAATAATCCATTTCAGAACAGAAATCTCAGGAGTAATGATCAAAATTCTTTTTTTATATATATATATATATATATATATATATATATATATATAGAGAGAGAGAGAGAGAGAGAGAGAGAGAGAGGGAGAGAGAGAGGGAGATATATATCTATATATATATATCTCTCTCTCTCTCTCTCTCTCTCTCTCTATATATATATATATATATATACACACACACACACAAGTAATTTATTTGGGTTAATTTCAAATGGAGATGGAAAATGAATAAAGGTGAGGAAAGGTTTAAAGGGAAAGAAGAGGAGATAGAGAAGAAGTCTGCCTCTAGAGCGGCAGAAAGAGAGAAAACAAAACAGAGAAACCACAGCAGCAAATAGCATATACTTATATAATAACTATAACATCACTGAAAAGTACAAAGTACAACTTACTACAAGATGAGTCAGTGGCAACCTCACCAAAAGAGTGTATCTGCGTAGCATCTGAATGTAAAACACCCAATGATCATAATTCCCTAAATCTTGAGTTGTTAAAGCGAGGCTCCAATAGGGATGTACGATATAGTACGATATATTTTTAGTTTCTCATAAAATGCTTTTGGTAATGGAGTCGCTTTGGTTGTTACAATGCCCTGTGATGGTGGGACTGAGGGCCTGTCTGGGGAGTCTTTCACTTAATGAGAATAAGAGATAGACACTAGTGCACCTTGACTGAACTGACAGAGATTTACTGTAGAACAAAATAAGACATGGAATTATTCTGCCTCAATCACAGAAGTGTCTTCATGAAAATAACATTTCTGTTTTTTCAGAAACCCAGCTGATAATGGATGGGAACATCCATCCATTTTCTGAACACCCTTGTTCCTAGTGGGATCAGGACAGGTGCTGGTGCCTCTCTCCAGCGAGACGTTTCTGGACAAGTTGCCAGACCATCGCAAGGCAACACAGAGACAGACAGGACAAACAACCATGCACAACACACACACCTAAGGAGAATTTAGAGAGACCAGTTAACCTGACAGTCATGATTCTGAACTGTGGGAGGAAGCCAGAGTACCCGGGGAGAACCCATCATGCACAGGGAGAACATGCAAACTCCAAGCAGAAAGACCCTGGGCCGGGAATCGCACCCAGGACCTTCTTAGTGTAAAGCAACAGTGCTACCAGCTGCGCCACTGTGCAGCCCAGCTGGGAACATATAGGGATGAGAATTCCCACCTGTCTACATCAATACTGACACAATTCTATTTTAATAGAGCAAACACTTTCAACTGGTACAGTTTTGGTTATGCACCAAGGTTTGGTTCTCATTTTTCTAGATGGAATGCAATGCAATCCTCTTCCCAATGGTTCTGCACTAAACTGAATTTTAGAACATGTTATTTATTTGAATTTCAATTGCTCCCTTAATCGGTTTAGACAACATTATATGCTATTATCCAACTAATTTTAAGAACATTTCAGAAGCAGATTTTAATAGAATTTGAAAGCCCTAGAAAACTTTTGAAATCCTTCTGAAGAATACATGTTTCATGTCTGGGATCATTGTTTTCCTTTCTAAAAATTTAATCTGTAGCACACACAACTACTCACAGCCACACACATGCACACACACACACACTCAGCTCTTCAACAAAGCCTCCTTGCGGTGCTGACCGAGTCTCATTAGAGAATGAGCTCTCAGGACCGGAGACACAATTGCCTCACTCTCTTCGTCTTTCTTCCCCCTCTCTTCCTCTGTTCTCTTGGCCTTTTGATGTCAAGGGTACTGAACCGTAGAGCGCAATCCAAAGAATAAGCTCATCAACAGTGGCACATGTGGCTTTCTCAATTTTTTGGGGGTGATTTTTCTCTAATTGCGCTGAATGTACACGTACACTGGGGAGCAGACACACACGGAGCAGCGAGCCCTGATAAGATGCTGCTGTTCTGTCGACGCTCCTCAGTTCATGACAAACAGCAGTGTTGGAAACTCTAGTGCTGCGATTGACTGATAGAGACATCACAAAGACTACATTTTACTCCACTTTTCCTCTTGGAGTTCAAAAGGCCCGCCCATAGCACACACACACACACACACGAACACACACTCAGCTCATCTCAGCACGTCTCTTCGACCCAGTCCATGTCCTAAACACAGATGCAACAGGCATGGAGTCAGTTTCAGTAGAGAAAGAGGTTACTTAGCAAAACGTCTGAGACAAAAGACATAAACATATCTTCATTTTGTTATTTTGAAAAAAATCTGGACCCCTGCAGAAACTAGGGATGCACCGACCCACTTTGTTCTCTTCCAATACCGATACAGATATCTAAGGCTTAGTATCAGTTGATACCAATCCAGTACAGAAAAACTGCTGAAATGACTTAAAATGTTTCTTTTTTTAAATAACGCACTGAATTACAAATGTATTTGATAACTTTGCACCAGTACACCACACTTAACACCAATAGCTTCAAAACCTTGGTCCAATATGGAAAATATATATATGGGTCTACCCTTCACCAACTGTCCCCGCCCCCACCTCAGCGTAACTCATGTTGCCAAGCAACCGTGACAGCGTGAAGCACAGAG